TATATTATAATCTGACTTAATCCGGATCAGTGCAGAGGAAAATAATATATTAGTCTGGAAATTCATCTTGCTGTCTGCATAATTGCTGCACAATGCATATTACTCCATGCACGCTGTCTCTTAAGAGAAATGACCCGTCTTGATTGTCTCCCCCAACAGACGAGCACATCTCCGCCTGTGTTTGGAGAGGTTGAAGTCCCTCATCCCTCTGGGGCCAGACTGCAGTCGGCACACCACACTAGGACTGCTTAACAAGGCCCAAGTACACATCAAGGTGAGGTGCCCATGCTACCATCATCGGATAAAGGGCTACATTCTTTCCATTTCTGTGCTCAAAGGTAATGACTTAAACATATTTAAATACTGCTTCCACTGTTTCACCCACATGGTAATGGTTGGTAATACCAGTTAGGGAAAGTATGAGTAGCGACCTAAAAGTCCTGAGGCTGAATTCAACAAGAGACTAAAGCAGCTAAATTGAATTGAGCCAATGTTACTTTTTAGTATTTATTTCTTTGCTTTTTCTTTTGTGACTCGTCAAAATGCCATCATCTATTTCAACATAATGGAGTTTTACGCTCACACCTTTCAAAAAGTGCCTTTCACTCACATATATTGAATTAAGAGATATCTAGCTGTTCCCTTGAGTAAAACAATGTTTGATGTCATATTGACAGCAAATATAGATCTGAGGTACAACAGAATATGACTTTGACCTAGCACCCATTAGATTTTTATCTGAGACCCAATCTAATCCGATGGTTTACAAAAGGCTGACCAGTCAATATACTGATCCTGTTTTTATTTTTAGAACAAAATTGTATTTGAGTCTCTTACAGTAGCTCTCACCCTAGGTGGCCCACAGCCTGAGTATGTCTGAACTGCAAATATGATTCTGTGGCATTAAGGCATCCAAGACTCAACACTTTGACCCCCTGATGGATGCAGTCTAAGCCAGATCAGATATTTTTGATTTTCTCAAGCTATGTCTGGGCAGACTCCAGTAATGGGAAACAGTAGGGATGACTGTGGGCTACAATATGAAAGCAATCCTCGCAACAATCTGTGATTTTATTACAGCAGGGGAAATGGATTGAGTACCTACTATATATTGTCAACTGTTGACTTTGGACCTGCCTGTTTGAAGTCCAAGAAATTTGGTCCCTGAAAGCTGCTGTGTTTTATGTTTGGAACCAGAGGTTGTGTAGGACAGTAAAAGGGTAGAAAAGGTGCAGACAGCATTTTCTTACAAGGAAGTTAAGTTGTGGGAAACGTACTATCCTTTTTACGCTATGCCTTCAAGCAAATATAATCCTTATGCAACAGTAATTTGGAGAATCAAATAGAAAAAATGTATAAAAGTTGAGAAATCACCACAAAGCTCTAAGGCACACTCTTAACCAATTAAAAGGCCTAATACAGGATGTTGTTGCTTCTTTTTGGAATAATCAGCAGAACAGTGGCCTTAAAAATGTTTTTCCACCAGCAGTAAATATTGCATACATAATTTGAGTAATTATTAATATGCTACTGCAGCGGTATTACATTATAAGATGTGATGATTGGGATGAAATGATTAAATGACTGAGGTTCAAAGTTCACCTTCAGGACTTTGGTTTTATATTAACTTTTCACACATAGTTAAGTGTGCAATTTGTGATTGTCGTTTGAGGCATTTAGGCAGGCTTTATTTAGAATTGCTATTAAATAACACACCGATTCTATCGTCATATTTAACTTGAATCCAATGGACACAGGCACACCATCTACTCATCTAGAATCCACCGAGCAACGTGCTGTCCTTGTGCGTTAAATATTTCATTAGAAGGCACAGGGGGGCGTCACATTTGATGGTAGCTACAACTCAATATTAACATCACATCACTGCACCCGAGACGAATTCACCATCCTCTCATGCATATAGTATATTAATCACAAGGAACATCTAGAGAAGTGCGTCCATCACGGTTTGATTGAATTGCTAAGTAATGAATGTAAACACTAAATGTGCCAGGTTGGTTCTGATTGTTCTGATTACCTTTACATAAAAACGAAATCATTAACTGTTTTGCATTTTCCTTTTTCTACAGAGACTTGAAGAGACGGACCGGAGGAGTTTGCACCAGCTGGAGAACTTGGAGAGGGAGCAGAGGCACCTGCAGAGGCAGCTCTCCCAGCTGCAGCCTCATGGAGACTGGGAGAGGGTCCGTAAAGACAGCCTGGGTTCCCGCATGGACTTTGACCGCTCAGAGTCTGACAGAGGTTAGTTTCTGATTAAGATCCGTTACCCAGGGGCAAGCTTTGTAATCTAGGACTGCACAATTCATCTATTTTAAATATGCATTTTATATTGTCTATCGTTATATGACAGATAAGTGTATTCGATGGCCTCTACTGTAACCTAAAAATATTTAGGGCTAATATTCATGTATTTTTTCATATAGCAAAGAATAATGCAGGGAAAGTAATAATGTTAGTTTTTCTCTATATAATGCAGCCTTAATTTGCATTGGAGGATTTGCAGGAATAGAGAACAACATGGAAGGGAAGGCAGTGATCTTAATGTGAAAGTGCAATACAAATATGTTGGCACTAAAACCAATTAATAATCGAAAAATAAATAATCCTGACCTCAATATGAATCATAATGGGCATAAATATAATGTTTGTGCATCCCTACTTTAGAATATAATTATGGTTTGTCCCCATATTCACTCAATTACAAATATTTGTCCTTGCATGATGCAGAAAATTAATCAGTTCTTTTTTTTATTTTCTGCAGAAGAAATTGAAGTTGATGTTGAAAGCACTGAGTTCTCCCATGGAGAAATGGACAGTGTGAGCACCAGTGGGGCGAGCGACCTGGATGACCACAGCAGCCGGCAGAGCACGGCCAGTGACGAGGGCTACTCCACCTGCAGTCTAAAACTGGCCTTCTCTGCTTAAAGCACCAGCCTATATGTTCACATCAACTGCAGTCTTTTATGGCTTTTACCTTTCAAAGTACCAGCCAAAAGCTCCACTCTTTTCTGCAGTTTAGATTAGCTGTCATCAGAAGAACAACCCGTCTCAATCCCACTTATACCTGACAAATCCAACATCTACACCCAATGAACCAGCCTTAAGGTCAACTCAGTCTAAACGCTGAAAACGTCTCCTTCCAAAAGACCTGTTAGAGGTGCTCTTCTACATCTGTCTGAAACATTTAAACACTATCGCCTCAAATGTAATTTAGTAGGCTTATAATACAGTATCCTCAGTTTAAGACTGACCCCTCGCCTGAATGTCCCTTAACCGATTACCAGCTTGAAATTAACCATACCTGCACGACCCATTACCTGTACCAGTGTCCACCACTGAAGAGGAAACTCCACCTTTAGCCAAGATGACCCTCTCAAACCAGCAAAAACACAAAAAAACCCAATACCAGCTAGAAGTTCACCATTGGGAACGTTTGCTCCATTTGCCTTGTAAAAACATTGCCCCTATTCTTAGGATAATATATCCAGACAGCACTTATTGTCAGTGTACAAGCCAGTGGCAGGGGCTACGATGTCTGCATTCCAAAATGTTTATAACACTACTATAACCTCTGCTTTAGGAGCCACAACCATCACTGATCCATGTGGCGTCCCCTTTTTGACTGAAATGCAGTCGTATTCAAACTGGTGGTGTAGTCCACTTTTGTTTTTCTAATTTATTTTACATATGATTATAGTATTTATTTTTGGTATATTTAATTTGACTTTAGCTAGGTCTTGGTTTTGCTTGAATGCTTAATATTTTTTTTAATGTTTACCAAATTACATGACGTAAATGATTAACCCCTACAGAAGCAAACGCAGTGCTAAAGGTTAAATGCATTGCTCAAGGTTTTGTCTTCTTTTACACTTTGCACAAATGCTCTTGTATTTAGACAGAAATAAGCTATCCCACAATTGTCCAAGCACAAGGCTTAAAGCAATAAAGCATATATTTTCATCATATATTAAATGTTGGCTGTGATTAGCACACTGTCCGTCCAACACCAAATTGCAGTTTGCTAGTTTTTCACTGACTCCAGTAGTATCAGTTTTAATATTCAGCAGTAAACATGATTGTAATTGATTTAAAAAAGCTATGGGGCATGTGTATTGAATGTAGCTTGTCTAATCATGTTATGTGCTTTGGTTTGACAAGTCTTTACAAATATCTGTAGCATGAACAACAAACAGTATAGGACACTAATTTTGGTTCATACTTCAATGTTTAATACCGTTTCTTTTTTTGTATTCTAGCAGAAAACGATCACATACTTAACATTTGGAGATTTCGCATTAATAATTCAATGTCTATTTGACATACTATTGCACTGCTGACCGGTTAGAATCCATGAAACCAAATAAGGCATTTCAATATGACCATTTATCTGCATTTGTTTTGGTCCAAGTCCTAAGGAGATCACCACCAAATTGTGTCTTAACATGGGTATTGCACAAAGTTCCTTGTTCCAGGTCTTTTTCCTCCCCAACCAGTTTGGGAAACTATCAAATGCACTATGAAGAAGACTGTTGTTAAGGATATGTCAAAGCACATCCCAGAATGTTTTCTCCCGTGTTTAATCAGCCATCCAAGGTGACTTTTTGCAAAACATGCTGCTGGTCCCCTGCTAGTACGATGTTACAGACCCTGAATACTGTCCCTGGAATCGTAATAAACCTCTACCACCCAGACATAAATCTGTGTTGTCTTTTCTTTTATTGGTAAGCCTACCATAAATGCTCAAATCATCATTAGATAAGTCCCGTATACAATTAGACAAGTCTGTAATAAATGCTCTCAATAAAGCCCCCTGAACTAACAAAAAACAAACAAACATGTGACATAAATGGGAAGAGTGGTTGAATAAACAGCTGCAACATGCTTCCCATGTCTTTACTGCCACCTACAGGACCCAATAGAGCCACAATAAATATATAATTTTAAAATTGAGGTAAATGACGTGGAAGCCGTTATTTAAAAAACTGAAAACAAAACAATGTTTATTGGACTGTTATATACAGAGAAATTAAAAACGTAAATTCAGCCATGTCAAATCAACATCATTATTGAAGTGTATACCCCCACCCCACAATGGGTCAGTGTTCAAAATACAGCTTCAAATGTACAACAAAACAAATCTGCAGGTGTATATTTATTCTCGTCTTAGCAGGTATTTGGCCTCAGTGGAACCTGAACACAAACAACAAACTATAAGGTTGATCTAAAACACCACTTCCTGTTCTTACACAACAGGGGACTTTGTTCCAGTGCTGGGAAAATCTGGGATTTTTCTGTTGTACTTCGTAATATATAAGAAAACTACATCAATATTTCAAACATGGTGTGCAAGCAATTCCTTTCAAAGCTTTCTTTACTTGGGAAATGAGACTCATGTATAAACACAATGGAAAGCACTGATACAGGAAGTATACAGTGGATCAGTATATACAGAATATATCAGGTCATTGTGGCATTAGATGTCTAACATTATATTTTGCTGTGTCACTGTACTGAGTCATTGGCTTGTCTGCAATACCACATGTTCCAACTCCCACCTTTCCAGAGACGCTTTCTGGAGATGCAAATATGCTTCTCTTGACCTAGAAAAACAAAAGAATACAGTGTTAATTATTAAATATATAAAAATGGCTTAGTGTCCATTATTACTATATACATTTACAATCCTCCCACAGCAATTCATGGACAGTGTTAACATTAGTTTCAAGTTTCTAGACCTCCAGTACTGTACAACGGTGCAGTATGCAATGCAGAGTGATGGACAAAATGTGGTTTTAATTATATTTTACATAATATTTATTTAAAGAAATCTATTAAACTTTATGAATGTACACTTTTACTCTTCTTTGAATATTTGAACTAAAGTTCTTAAAGGTGGGTTATGTAATTTTGGAGAAACCAGCTCGAGTACGCTAGAATTTGAAAATACACAACCGGAAAAAATCTGCCACTTCCTTACAGAGCCCCTCCTCCAACACACACGAACACGCACATGACCAATGAGGGCACGAGATAAGTTTGTGCACAGATGGAAGGCTGACAGGCAGGTAGGCCATCCAGTTATTTTAGCCGGGCCGGCTAAAATGATTGGTCGTGCTTTTTACAGTACCACGGCTTCCACAGATGACATTCTTTTATGGATTCTTTGTCAAAGCACTTAAGATATTCATTACTATCGGGATGTTAAGAGCATTCCATGGAATATATATGGGGGAGGCTGTGGCTCAGTGTTGAGTGTGCTGGACTTCGAATCAGGGGATAGCAAGTTCGAGTCCCACTGCAGTCAGCATGTCGTTGTGTCCCTGGGCAAGACACTTCACCCCAAATTGCTCCTGTGGGGATTGTCCACAGTACTGAATGTATGTAAGTCGCTTTGGATAAAAGCGTCTAACAAATTACATGTAATGTAAACAAAAAGTGTATCTCGAGTCGGTTTCTCAAACTTACCTATCCCACCTTTTATGTCTTGCTAGAAAGCAAAAGAAAGGAGACTGGTACACTACAACCACTGTGTTTTATCAGTGCACCATGGATTTCCCAGCACTCAAATAAAGATATCTGAAGAAGACGTACCTGTCCTTTTTTGTTCTTTGAATAGGCTTTGTTGTTGAAATTCTGCCACTTTGACTTTTGTTCCTCCCTCTCTGTCTCCAATTCCTTCATCCTCAGAACCTTTTTCTGGGCTTTTTTCTTCTTATACTCTCTCTGATCTGCTATCTGTTCTTTCCTAGAAAGACAAACAAGGAGAAGAGAAACATTTAACATTGAGTCCATGATGTACAAATGCAATACCAAAAACATAACAAAAACAGCATTAACGAAACCATGGTTTATACTGAACTATTTAATATCAACTGAAACTCTGCTGAAGCCATGAAAAATCTTTGCTAAACCGTACATAGTAGAGGTATCATGCATTCATCTTGTATGTGAAGAAACAAGACAAAGCCAGGCCTTGGAAGAGTTTGTTTTTATGTCTATATAAAGAAAAACTTACAATTATCTGTGCAATAACATTGAAATGATAAGCGACCTCCTTCAAATGTACCCGTGTCATTGAAAAGCAATACAAGAGGCGCTTTCACACCAAGTACTTTCCCCAGGAATAGTTCACGGAACTTTTATTTCCTGGAACTATCTAGTAAATCGCATTCAAACTGGAATACATCCCCGAGGGAGCCGCTGACGTCACTTATTCTTCTTCTTTGGGTTTACTGGCAGGCCGCAAACAACTTCACGGCGTATACTGCAACCCGAAGTCCCCGGAGTTGGGGACTGGCTTCAGTAGAAGCTGCTGGGACTCCCAGCAGCTTCTACTGAAGCCTTCAGAGTAAATCGCCAGAACGTCGACACCTCCTCATCACTCCACCGCTCCCATGTTTTCTTTTGTGTTGCTATAAGTTAGTCTCTCACCTGTTTCTGATTCTGATTCTGATTGGTGCGCTGGGCTAATGCTAATAAGAGCAAATAAAATGGCGGCTTCATAAAAACTTTTCAGAGTTTTACAAGGCGTGGTATGCAATTCGCCCAGCCAATCTGAAATTGGAACCTTTTTCTCCCCAGGAAAGTCCCTGCTCTCTAGCAGGGACTAAAAAGGGATGAAAAGGTTCCCGAAAAAAGTTCTAGTTCCAGATCTTTTTGATGTGAACGCAAAATCCCAGGAACTATCGGAACTATTCCTGTGAAAAGTACTCCGGTGTGAAAGCGCCCAAGGACACCACAGCAGTGTTTCCTGAAAACTACTCTACTCAATAGTGATAAAGTTCTAGATTTGTATTCAGACTAAAGGTGGATGCTCACAATTATATTAACTACAGTAACATATTTAGACAAAATATATGTAACTTGCACAGTGTAATGTCAATGCCAAGCATTCCCTTAAAATATGAATAGGCTGGAAGTAAGCAAAGGTTTATATGTTTGCATATAAAGTAAGTGAGATGTGTTTTCAGTTCATACTTTGATTTAGGCTTCCCATCGTCGGCATTTCGTTTCCCGTCCTCGGATGGCTTGAGGTTCTGCAGAGGAATCACTTCAGCGTTCCCGTACCCGGCGAAGGTCACGGCTGCGGTGCCATTCTCCCGGTCTATCTCCTCAATCTCAGCCTCATAAGTCCTGCCAAAGAATCACGTCTGTAAGCAGGTGAGTATGAGCCAAATACTCAAGCTCTACTAAATAAAGCAATCGTTTACTCATGTATTATACTTAATGACAAGTTGTAATTAATTATTTGAGCAATTTGTATAATAAGAAGTATTTACAGTTGACTTTTACTACACCTACATTTATAGAGACTGGTTGAATTTAAAAACATTACTTTTTAATAAAAGTGAAATAGAAAAGTGTACAGGAATTGTTTTTTTATGAAAAGAGGCTGGTGATACTCACTGTCCATCCTGATTCCACACAGCCAGGCAGTTGTCGCCCACTTTCCAGCGCTGCTTCACTGGTACTGTCACTGAGCTATTAGTAGTTGAAGCACTCTCAGCGGGTTGTGAGGTAAGAAGGTCTGTTGTCAGATCGATGACTTCCTGCAGGAAAAAAGTAGGTTATTTCAGTGTTTTGGCTTTTCCTTAAACCAAGCCCTGTGGGGAGCTCTAACATCATACTTTTATGATTTGGATGTACGAGTATGAACATCTTAAGACCATGGCAATACTAACACTAACTGTAATCAAGCATTTAAATAACATTTGCTTGTAAACGAAGATGCTTCTCTTTAACATGAAAGTATATATTTCACATGACAAACCTGCAAATGTATGACAACAAAAGAGACCCTACGGATAAGATTATTCTGTGTGATTAGGATAATTATTTTTGCTGCAAAATCTATACAATGTTTAAAAACATACACATTCAGATAGCTAGTTAACAGTGAAGTATTTCAATGTTATGATTTGGTATTCAATGTTTCCATTAGAAAGTGTTTTTATTTCGAATCCAGCTATTATAAATACTCTTAAGTGTAATTCAATATACTTTACTACATTATAGTCACACAAACCTGCAAGTCTTTCTGGAGTTTAAGGAGGTCTTCATTTTCTTCGTCGGTAGATAAGGCAACTTCTACTTGCTGTAGCTGGGCTTTGTAGCTGTTCAACTGTTTCACCAAGTCTTCCGACATCTGTTCGTATACAAAAAGAAATAGCGTGTTTGGCTAACGTTAGCATATCCCAAAAGCTAATCGTAAACAACTTTCAATATCGAGCCACCACACATGAACGTTACTATAATCAGACTACATTTTCGTATCGTGTTTGAATGCAACTGGGTGAACCGTAGACACATCCACATCTAGCGTTTAATGATAAACAAGATGAATACATTAGCTTGACGCTAAAACTGTTAGCAATACCCCTCGGCCTTCTTTCGTCGACGTCAATTTGACGGACAACGGCTAATGCTAGCAACGAGTGGCCGAGGCGCAATCACAAAAAGCATGGGTCACGGTGTAATCTTACCTCAGTATATATGTTCTTCAATGATAAATACGGCAAGCATTCAAATTTCAAGTCGAAGATTTCCTAAATCGACTGCTGAAAAGAACAACAGCAATTCGTTTCTTCGTCCCTTACACAAATAGCTAACCGGAAGTCGGCAAACGAGTTTCTCGCGATAACAAGAGATATCAGAATAAATACCAAGCGATGGCTCGTTAGCGCCCCTAGCGGCAATGCTCAGTGCTCAGTGGTATCTTCAGTCTGCTGATAATTTTCCCATACTGGAAAGCCATGTAGCTATAATTAACTTACAAGTGTGGGACATGACTGTTTGTACTGCGACTATAGCCATCCCATGAATAATGCTTGGTGTTGTGTGTTGTGGTATGAAAAAACAGTTTTTGTACATCAAGATTTAGGTTACTTATTGAACTGTTAATCAAGATAATATATGGTAAAACTGTGCAGATCATTAGAATGCTCCAGAAATAAAAACACTTTTAAAAGAATAGTTGTTATTATTTTAAGGCATAATGTCACAGTAATTGTAAGCTACCACAATCAAAAATGATGACATCAGTGTATCCAAAATCTGGCACACATACGGTATTGCGAAAAATAATTGAAATTCCCAATAAATGTCATATTGAAGCATTATGTTGCACAGCACAAGACAGGAAAACACATTATATTTGTGTATCAAATACTCAATACTTGGTGATGTATTCACTATGTCATTGGAAAAACAAAATGTGTCAAGCTACATGTTTTATTACTGTAAATGTACTGCTCTTACTCTTGCACATCTAGTGAGTGATCTCTTTAGTTAAAGGCTGCGGTCTCTCTACTGATTCAGATTTTATTTCCAGTTATTTTTCTCTCAGGATATACCTGAACAATTTGTTCATAAAGTAGGACAGATAAACCATAAAGAGTGTGCTCTTAATCTATTGTAATTGAATAAACTACAGATATTACTTCTATAAATCAAAAATATTATTAATGTCATAATCAGCTAATGGTTTCAGGGTCTGGGAGCAACAACAAATTGCTTTTAAATCTCCACTAGCAGATGAACTCCGCCCATTCCCCATCTCACTGAAGTGGAGCCGGCATCACAGATGCTCAGCGTCAGATCAAGCCCATATAAAAAGAAGAACTCTCCACTTTACCCACAGCAGATGACAGGATCTCCCTGAGCCGGCACTATCTGGAATGTAAGTCTGTATTATGATTTGTACTTTGCTATGCTAAAAATGTTGCTGGGTAAAGATTTTCTTTTTAAAAGGTTAGATCTATTTTAAAAATCATCATCATCTTATGTGGGAAACTGGGAATACATCAGTTATCTTTATTCCTTTCATTGTTGGTTCATTGGTCTTTTGTAATACAAAGAGACATTCTCATAATTTTTCTCTGTTGGTTGGTGTCTTTTTTTCTCAGTGAAAAAGAGGAAAGATTTATTTGAAGAAAATCTCCAAGTGAAGAAAATGAAAAGACTGAATTCTCTGAGGCTGTATTGTTGAATGGATAATATCAACATACTGCTGGCAAGCACAGCTTCCACTGTTGGGACAATATCGTCGACACCCCAGCTATGGGTTGTCTTAACTTAACCAGTGGAAATGAGACTGGCAGGCACCCTTATACTGTGCAGACCTCTGTGCCTTTAACCATCCTAGTGGGTATCCTCATCCTGCTAACTGTGTTTGGCAATGTCATGGTGGTGATTGCTGTGATCACCAGCCGAGCCCTGAGAGCGCCTCAGAACTTATTTTTAGTCTCTCTGGCATGTGCGGACATTCTGGTTGCCACCTCAGTGATGCCTTTTTCTTTAGCCAATGAACTGATGGGTTACTGGCACTTTGGGAAAGTATGGTGTGAAATCCACCTGGCTTTGGACGTGCTCTTCTGCACCTCATCCATCGTTCACCTGTGTGCCATCAGCCTGGACAGATACTGGTCTGTCTCTCAAGCCATCGAGTACAACCTGAGAAGGACGCCGCGCAGGATTAAATGCACAGTCCTCATAGTTTGGGTACTGGCGGCTATTATATCATTCCCTCCACTCATCACAATGAAGAAGGACGAGGGTAAAGAAGACCGTCCCGAATGTAAAATTAATGAGGAGAAATGGTACATCATATTCTCCAGCACTGCCTCTTTCTTTGCACCATGTGTCATCATGATCATGGTGTATGTTAGAATATACCTGATTGCCAAGAAAAGAACCAGAGCCCCGCCAGGTAAAAGGCAGAGAGAATTCGGAAACACAGAAGACGCTAAGTGTGGTTTGGAGAGAAAAGACGGAGAAGAGAGGGAGGAGGAAGAGGGGGACGGAGCAGAGATCAACGGGCTAGATCTGGAGGAGGAACCATCCTCGTCTGATGGGAATGACACCGCCCTATGTTACCTGAAGAAGGGGAATTGTGTGAGAACAGCCAAAGGGGCTCAGGTGAAGCCGGGGGAAACCTCTCTGAAGCCAGAGGCGCAGCCCTGCGTGGGTCCGAGCAAGTGGAAAGGGAGGCAGTACAGAGAGAGGCGCTTCACATTTGTTCTGGCTGTGGTCATGGGAGTGTTTGTTCTTTGCTGGTTCCCCTTTTTCTTCACGTACTCGCTCACAGCTGTGTGTGACGCCTGCTGTGTCCCAGAGACATTGTTCAAAATGTTCTTCTGGTTTGGTTACTGCAACAGCTCACTAAACCCTGTTATTTACACGATATTCAATAATGACTTTAGGGGGTCTTTTAAAAAGATCCTTTGTAAAAGGAACAGAGTACGTTTATAAATAGGATTTTTATGTATGCATTTTAAAATACAGCATTTTTGGTCATCTATACCTAAGCTCAGATAAGTGTACATTTTACACAGATATTTATGGAATATACGAAAAATGTGAAAAGAAGCATGTTTTGCCATTGTGTTTTAACATGTTGTGTATTACCACATCAGTAAATATCTGTAATATTAAAATCATGCCAAATATCTTATGTGAAGTGTATCACAGCTAGTATTATAATGTGACAACTTTTGAGTTTACATTGTACAATTGTGACAACATGGATGATACATTTTCTACATGTATTTGTACATTTGTAACAGTATTCAGTCAACCTTTAGATATTTTTCATGTTTTGGGTCTTAACGCTTTAAACTCTTAATGCTTTAAAGACGGACTGACCGTGTGAGTTAGAAAAGAGATTCAGAACAAGAAAAATGGTGATAGGGAAAATGGTGTAATATGCTACAAAAACATCCACTATAATGGCACTAGTTTGTAAACAAGCATGGCCAATCATTTCATTATGACAGATAACTTAATCAGCAATTACTCTGCCGGAGAAATGTTGAGAAACTATGCATGCTTTTTGGACTGTTTTCCTCTCTGTGAATTACCATCATAATGAAACAAAAAGCATACAGGAAAGTGCACAATTGTAAATGCTGCAGTATTGCAAATAAAAAAATCATCTTTGCATAATAGTACAAACTTTAGCAGAAGCAAATAAAAGCATATTGTACCGTAAAATATATTATTCCTATCTGACTAACCATCTCCTTCACTCCTAACAAGCACATGAACATGACAATTATATGAAAATAAATTACGCCTCGAAGGTACGGGTGGCGCGACAATATTGAATGGAGTTTGTCTTGAATTATAGCCCTTCATATCAGGATATCATTAAGTCTTCCCCTGGAGTCAAACACAAAGCGTGCAGCGATAGAAATATGAGTGGCTGCTGCAAATTACACTGCAAGGTTAATATCCACACGAGCTTATCAACGTGGTGTTCTGCTTGTTCAACATGCGGTCTCTTCTCCTTTTTTAGCACACTGTTAACAGCAGATCTTTATATCCACTTTACTTTAACAAATAGACATTTAGACCATAATCAGTCTGTGAACCTGAAAAAAGTCAATGCACTATCCATTCCTTCAACTTGCTGTACCACACGTTTACACGCTGGACTTCTCACATACAGTAAGTAGAGTGATTCCCATGACTTTTGTGACTCTGGTGTTTTGAGTTTCCTGTGGTACACATGTTGGATTCTAAACATGTCTCAGAGTCTTAAAATACAACATCCTTGCTCACCACAAATGGTAAACCATAGATTCAACAGTTTTGCTAATAGAGTTCCCACGAACAATTTGACACGAGAAATATTAGAAAGCAGTGGTATTTGTGGCTTTGTGGCAATGAGAATTCATACAAGATAAATCTATTCCCGGGTGGTTGTAAAATCATCGCAGCACTTTGTTAGGAATGATTCTGACAGATGGTATCAATATGTGTAAAACTGTACAGGAAAAGCCCTGCCATTGCAGCACTTATGAGGACTGCAAATAAACAAACTTTCTAGCTTCATACTAAAGCTTATCAATCAACATGATGTAACATTTAGTACCATACAACATAAGCCAGACAAAAATCCTTCAGATATTTTTCCTTGGCCCTGATCCATGGCACATCAATATGTCCTGAAAGATTAAAGTGCACTCATTACTATCTGAATGCATTCTTTTATTAAAATGACAGCTATAATGGAGTCGGCCTTCTTGAGCGGCACGATGCATACATTACATTTGTAAAGCACTCTCTAAGCAACAGAGATTAAATACCAAAACACTAATGACATTACATTCCTAAAAATAATAATGAATAAAATCCTAAAGAGTTGACTTGGCCATCATTTGTAATTAGTTTGTCAAATCCAAACCACAGACACATTCATGACATATTGAATAAATCACGTTACTAAAGGTTTTCCAAATTGTCTGTGAACTTTAGGCTAGTTTTCAATCTTCTATGCCTAACTGCAGCTCCCTATAAATTATGGCTCGTTACAAAATGTAAGCAGTTGGTTTATTATTGCTATTCTCTGTGTATGCACACACACACACACACACATATACTTTCGCCGTCTGCCGAGACAATGATTTATTCCCCCCTCTAAAGGCCACTCACGATTTATGATTGTGACACTAAGCTAATAAAACTATGCTTTATAAGCTCTCTCTCTGGCAGGCGTTCCCACAACACATAGCGCCTCAGTCAGACTTCTCCATTTCCTTCTCATTTCTCTCACCTCTAGTTCAATAAGAGCTCTTTAAAAGCTGCGAGTCACGCATCTCAGGTGAACTTAAAAGGCAATTAAAGACCAAAGAGAAAACACATTGCAGACAATGAGATTGCCAAGGCAGGATTGCACAGACAGAGACCTTAGTAACAAGTTTAAAATCATAGCTAGTGATGAATAGAGTGTTTTTAATTGAATGTTGGGTAATTCATTATGAATTGAGCACAATGCATCAGGCACACTGGGGCATGCAATGCTTCCCCCCTCTTGAATTGATAAGGATGTGAGATAATCAAATAACATTGTGAGTGATGGGAGCAGCAGGAAGCTCCTGTTTAATTTGCCTCGTGCAATCTGTTACTTTCCATACTCCCTCTGCTCCCTATTGCATCTGCAAACCACATTTTACTGAATAAAAAGTCGTATTCTATCCCCAATGTGTTTACTGGCTAATATTGCAACATTTCTAGCAGTCTAAATATGCAGAATATGACCAACCTTCAGTAAGAAAACATTTTTCTTTTTCCAGTACTATGACGGTATTTTTCCGAATGACTTGCTAGGCCATTTTCAGCCTACAAGATTCCATTAGAGGCCATTTTCTAGCTCTAGACCTTGAGAAAGGGATTATTGTTATTATTATTTAGGATTAAAAAAGGTCAACTAGTAGGTTATTATATTTTCTTAGCTCATCTAAAAAGCAAAACATGCTCGCCTGGAAGGGGCTCAAGAAGACCCCAGGGGAATGAGGACCTACTGGGAGTTAGGCGAGCTAAAGCGCATGGATAATGTGGAATTTACTAAATATACCATCAGTTGGAAGTTCATTCTTTGGGACAGCAAATACAGTCTTTACTCATTCATGCTTTCATTTAATCATATCTGACCTCCTCCTTTTTCCAACATTTGAAAAATAATCTCTGACATTTTATTTTTACAAAAGAACAAACGCCGTTTTACAGAATATATTAAACTTCTTTACCTACCCTAAATGCCTAGGGTATGAGTGTGTGACAGAGAGAGAAAGAGAGGGGCAAAGGGTAAGGGCTAAACTGTTATGTGAATAGTCACAAAATAAGGGTCTTACTCTTAATCTGTCAGGGTCCATTTAAATTTAATAAAAACTATAATGAGTTTTAAAACATTGATTTTCCATGCTCATTACCATCAGAAGTAGAGATAATCTCCACTCTGTGAAACTGGAAGCACCGTCTACAGCAATGCGTTCTTTGCCCTGCAGTGAATCCTCGCTAATACTAAATTAAGCTCTGGCAAATCTCCTTCTCCGGACACCATAATTCTTCATCAGACATCTTGTCCTGTCTCTGCTATCGATCGTAACCATTTCCAGTCTGGCCTACTCTCCTTCTCAGGCTCAAGCTTCTGCACAATACCCCCGCCCCACCCACATGCTCCTGGATGATGTCAGGACACAGACAAAGTAAACACAACTGATAAAGCTTACTATGATGATTGTGCTTCATCTCACCAGCTAGGGGTTATTATGTATATAAAATGATCCCTCGGTGTGCTGTCAGGTAACACACACCTTCACATAGATAAAGAGCAAGCTGTCCCACACTATCATCTGGGACTTCTCTATATCCCTGTTTTCCAAATATGTCATATACCATGAGGGTGTCAACATTGACAGTTTTACTTCTATCAGGTTACTTTTAGCAGGATCTCAGGCAACAAAGCAAACATGCTGATTATACTGATTGAGGAATCAGACATTAAAACGTGACATGAATACTTGCTAATGAAAATCCAAAGCCAAAATTATTTAATTATGTGTGTCTACATTTTTTTAATTCAACAAAATGTACAAGGCAAACTTGGCAAGAGTTAAATGCTCCTTGACTTTGCATTTATTTTTACATTTTATTCTATTTTATATTAAAATATGTTGGTAAAGTTTCACCTTTAGCACAGCTGGGAACACTTTATCTGTGCTCCAGTATTTAATTGTTATTTATAAAAAAAGCTAAGTTTTGGAGTAGATTGTATAAAAAGGCCTTGCTTTGGCACAGTAGCCTGTCATGAAACGACAATTATGAATAGAAGTGGTTTCAGTCTGTGTAAAAAGTAAAGTATACCTTCTAATATGATTACTAATACACTGCCATACTTCAGTGATGGCTTTGATCTGTGGATCGAGAAGAGTGTGTTGTGGTACTTACTTCTACTGGGCAGCAGATGGAGCCTTGTGGGGTTATTTGTTATTTTCCAGGTGATTTGTTGACAGGTTTCCTCAAGTGCTCAGAAAGTTCAGTGAAGATCCATTCTGAAAAGGTAAATCATAATTTTAAAATGTATTGATTGTGTAACGTCAGTTAGTTTCAGATGTTGGCAGTGGTGCAAAGTAACCAAGTACATTTACTGAACTACTGTTCTTTACTTAAGTATTTCAAATGTTTGCTACTTGTACTTTAACTTCTACCCCATTACACTTCAGAGGTAAATCATGTACTTTTACTTCACTACATGTATTTAATATCTCTAGTAGTTAGTAATTATGTTCAACTCTTAAATGAGACTTGAGTTACACCTGGAGTACCATTCACAAGCTACCCTGCAGTATACAATATAATTATAACTAAAAACCGATAATATATACTTTTGTACTTTACTTGAGTAACATTTTGAAAGCAGGACTTTTACTTGTAACAGAGTATTCCTACACTCCTGTACTTTTACTTTT